TATAATACCAATGTCTATATTTTCTGTAAAACCATCCTTCAAATCAAATGTTTGTGATCTCTTTGTAACTTATTTAGTTTCTCAATAAATATGTATGTTATAAAAATTTTAAATCTCTCCAGATGTACACACATCTGTTCTCCATTCCATGACCGGTCCTTATAAGGACGGATAGTTATCTGCGATTCCAACAACGCACACACAAAACGGTTTGGATTTGGCAGAAGGCCAAGTGGTAATGGTACGCATCGCTCGCGAAGACAGTCAATCGATTGCCACGCAGTCATCCCTCACACATCCATTTATTCGTTGTACCTCTCGCTGTTCTCCTTTCGCCTTCTATTGCTCAGCAAATTGATTTTTGCAGGTCATCTTCTTGCAAACTGCACAACCCAAACCAATCAAAAAGTGAGTTTTTTTTGGATAGCACCATTTCAAAACAAATTTAATAATTCAATTTCAGTGGTCCGTCAAGAAAATGGAATTCAGGCCAGAACCGCAATTTTAAATGGGTTGAAAAATGCGTTGAACCAAGATGGTAATTTTTTATTCTAATTCATTCTCATAAACCTATTTTTCAGAAAACCAACCACCAGCTGAAAACCAAGAGCTCAAGGTTGCGCTGGAGTACGCTGCGGAGATGGAGAAGAGAGTCGAGGGGCTTGATGCGGTGATCAGGAACCAGGAGAGAATGTTCCAAGAGCTCGCGGAGAGTATGGAGAAAGTGAGAAGTGAGTTGTTATCATATACTTTTGGCTCATAATTCTCAGGGTACGTCGGGGGGGGGGGGATGAGCAATAGGGTACAAAGCAATTTAGAGGTCCAAAATAGACACATCGGGGGGGGGGGGGGGGGTGGTACGAGATTCGATTTTTCCAGGTAATTTGTGCACACAAATTGAGGATTTTGCACCACTAAATCAATTTGCAGCCATCGAATCATTTACCACAATTTTTTGTTACAAAAATCTAAATTTTCAGAAGCTAACGTGGCTCTCCGTCGGAAAAATGCTCGGTTGGAGGCTGAATTAAAGGCTGCCGTCAGCAACCAAGAAGATAAGGAGAATCTGTAAACTTATGATAATTTTCATGAACTGCATGGGTTTTTTCGATGATATATTTTGAAATAAAAATGCATTTTTCTCCATTTCTATGCGAAGCTAAAAATAGGACAGAATTTATATTGGAAATCAGAAAGTCTCGTTTTCCATCTTATTTCTGAGTCTGTGTACGTATTGGAAAACGAGAGAGAGAGAGAGAGAGAGACCTTTTCCTCTCCTTGTTCCTTCCCCCACCACCACAAGAGCAGATTCGCGGAAGGTCCGCTTTATGTGATGAGAAATCTCTTCCACGCGCGGTGTAGTCCACGAGGAGAACACTACTTCTCGAAATTTACTTTTATTACATTGCGATTTCAATGAAAATTTGCATGCTTTCCCTCAACAAAAATCATTTTTGAAGATATTTCGAACTAACTTGTGTTACCCTTCAGTTATTCTTTTTCTTGGAGTCTACTGAAACTTTTTCTTCAGCCTGGAGTTCCCAGAATGTCCAGCATCACCGATGAACCATCGTCCTCCAACTCCTCTCCCGTCGACGAAAGTAAGTTGATACTCAAGTTTCTCAAATCACATCTGATTTCAAAAAAATATTTAAATTTTAGTTCACCGGCTTAAGAAACTCATAATAGCGAAGGACGAGGAAATGAGAAACAAAACTCAAGCTTTCCGCCGGCTCCTGGCTGATGAAAGGATTCGGATTGCTCGTTTGTGAAGTTATGTTAAATTCTTCTTGATTTCAGTCTTCTTTTCAGTTGAAATGGGTGGCCAAAACGCCGTTCACAATTGTTTGATGGGTGAGATGACAGCAAAAAACCGTAAATTTTTCTGTCTCAATTTTGGGATCCAGAAATGCTCTTTTTTTTTAGGCACAATCACCGCTCTTCGTCGTCACAACGACGCTTTGGCCCAACGAGTCGATGGATTTAAGCAAATGTTTGAAGAGCAAGATGCACAATTTGCCAACTTACAGGTTCAGGTGGAGGCTGTTTGTGGTAAGCATTTTTTAACCAGGAAAATCTGAAATTTCCCAATGATTCTGGATTGTTGAAAACACTAAAAAAGAACGCCCCTCAAACCGTCAAGTTTCAGCCCAATTATCTTATTTCCTGAAAAATATATCAAAATGTTGTCAACTAATAAAATCTTGGTGACATTGTGATAAAGATTTTGTTAGTTGACTACTGTTTGATATATTTTACAGGAAATGAGATATACGGGTTTAAAGTTGATGATTCGGGAGGTGTAGTGTTACTGTATATCGAAACTTTAAGGTTAATTATCTGACTTTTTCGTTGTAGATATAAAGCATCTGTCAACTGAGAAAATTTGGTGACATTCAGACCAATATTCTATCAGTTGACAGATTTCAGATATTTCTCATTCTATGAGAGGAAAAATCTTTTTGACAATAACTGAAAACTAGAATTTTTCAGTTACTGTAAAATCTGTAACAGAAAAATTGGATTTTGTAAAATAATGTAATCTTGTCTACGCGCTCGAGAAACGCGTCAAGGGTACGTGCACCCGAAACGGGCAAAGAAAAAATGTAGACGCATACTTGGAGCTCATATCCAAAATGGGCAAAATGAAACTGTCATAACTTAAATGATAATAAAACTGTAACATAATAGAACTGGGAAAATAGAAGGACCTAATTTTAAAGCTGTTTCATACCGTGAAGCCTGTAATCGAAGCGCCCCAACCTCTCAACTTTGAGTCAATTTATCTCGGTTCCTGTCAAAGATATGAACAAGTTTCTAACTGATAAATTGCTGATCATAATGTCACAAATACTTTATTAGGTAACCCAGTTTTGATATCTTTCACAGGAACTGAGGTAATTGAGCTCAAACTTGATAGTACGGTGCGCTGCTCCGTAAAGCGTTTTTAGCTTCAGAATTTGTCTCTACATAAAAAATATCCATGAAAAAATTCCAGAGGAAAATGCGGCCCTTCGTAAGGAATTGGAGGTAATCAAAGAAGGTCAAGCAGCCGACCCGACGACAGTTTCAAAAAAGGACTAACTTTGAATTTTCCATGGTTTTTATATTTTTAATACAAAACACGGGATGTTTAACATGTAACCGGAAAGGTTTCGATGTATGTATATTTGATAATTCGTTTCGAAATAAATTTTATTTTCGTTTTCCTCCAGTGCTATTCTTTAGGACAGAATTTCTCAAAACTACCAAAATAACAAGACAGCGTAGCTCATACTCCACGATTCTCAATTAAAAGGTTTTAAGGAAGTGTTTGCCTTGGCCGACCTCATTATTTTGGTTATTATTCTTCTGGGATATGTAGGGCTTAGCGACCGTAGTGGTTTCTGGGTCACTGTGCGTAGTTTCGGAAGAAGGAGTTGGTCCACGACAACGTACCCTCGCCGGAGTCATGGTCGGCCGCGCACAGTGTTGGTCTTAATAAGTACGGGAGTGTACCAAAACAGTCAATAAAGAAACGGTCCCCGTTTTCGCCCGTTCATCTCATTTTTCTGTGTGAGTGTGTATTGGAAAATGGCGGTGCTATGTGTCCCTTTTCCTCTCTTCTCCTTTTTGCTGCCCATTTCATCATACCTTTTAAAGTTAAAAATGTCTGTTGGATGTTTTCCATTCAAATAAATCTAGATATTTGCCTATTTATACTGTTCAAGCTATCAAAAAGTTTCCGTAAACAGTGAATGACCCTTCCCCCTCTTATCGAACTTTTAACTTTGAGCTAATTTATTTCGCTTTCTGTCAAAGATATCAACAAGTAATCACTTGACAAAATGTTAACCATATTTTCAGAAATATTTTGTCAGTTGACCGCTTTTTGATATCTTTCACAAGAATGAGACATATGAGCTCAAAGTGAGACATATGAGCTCAAAGTGAACAGGTCGGCGCTTGCCGGCTGAGCAATGCCATCGGCTGCCGTCCTTTTAACTTTGAGTTAATTTAGTTCTTGTTAAACATAACAAGTTCTTGTTAAACATAACAAAAAGTAGTTGACTGACAAAACATTGCTCATTTTATAATAAACATTTTGTCAGTTGATCATTTTTAGACAGATATCACAGGAAAGGTGATATATGGGCTCAAAGTTAACATGTCAGCGCTGGCCGGCTGAGCCACGCTGTCAGCTGCCGACCTTTCAACTTTGAGCCGAGTTATTTTTGTTTCTGCAAAAGGTATCAAAAATTGGTAAATTAAGGAAATGTAGCTGATATTATATCAATATTATTATTAAACATTTTATTAGTTGACCACTTTTTGATCTCTTTTACACTAAAGAAGATATAGCGGCTCAAAGTGACCGTTAGGCTAGTTTATGAGGTTAGAAGGTGAAACCTTAATGAAGGGCGTCTTGCGGTCCGCCAAAACTGAGACATTCATTGTTATCGATCGCAGGTCCATTTAAATTCTGTGTATGTATTATGGGGATGCTCTGTGTCCTTCCTTCTCCTTGTTTCTTCTACGACCAACACACAAGCGCGGGGAAACCTCTTCCACGTGCGGTATAGTCCACGAGGAGAACACTTTTCTTCTGAATTCACACAGTTTACATTGTGATTCTGATGGAAACTTGAAAGATTTACTGAAAAAAATCAAAAGAAATCATTTCCTGAATCAACCTTTTTTCCACTCTTCAGTTTTTCGTTTTTTCCAGCTTTATAAAATCTTTTCCAGTTTCTTGAAATTATAATAAAAACAAAAAAATTGATTTCCTTCTTTCCAGACTCAGAATGTACAGCATCTCCGAGGAACCATCCTCCTCCTCAAACTCCGACGCCGAAAGTAAGTTTTTATTCAATATTCATAAAACTGCAAAAACACCTAAATTTCAGTTCAAAGACTCAAACAGATTATTGAGACCAAGAATGCGAAAATCAAAGAGATGAGAACTCAAATTCAAGATTTTGGCATGCATCTGATTGATGAAAAGATTAAGATTGCCGGTTTGTAAATTTATCTTCAATTTATTATTCATTTCAGTCACTTTTCAGTTGAATGTGGTGCCGAAAATGGAGTACACAATTATTTGGTGAACGAGGTGACAGTCAATTGCCGTAAGTTTTTTTTCCAAATTTTCTCGGATGTTTTCTAGTAACTTCTGGTTAGGTATTTATGGTGGTTCGGCTCCTGGACGGATATTAGCCAGCTTCTGGTCAAAACTTGCCCAATAACGGCTGTAGCGGTCTTATCCAAAATCTGACCACCATCCGACCAGAAGTTGCCGGCTACGTCTGATTTGGCTTTAAGAATTGCTCATTTTCAAGGCACAATCACCGCTCTTCGTCGTCACAACGACGCTTTGGCCCAACGAGTCGAAGGATTCGAGAAAATGTTTGAAGAGCAAGATGCACAATTTGCCAATTTGAAGAAGCAAGTGGAAGCTGTCTGTGGTAAGTATTTTTTGTTGGAAAAATCGAAAATTTCTAAATATTCCGAGTTAGATTTGATTGGGAAGTTTAAGCTCAGTTATCTCAATTTCTGTTAGAGATACAAAAAAACCTGTCAACTGAAAAGAGGTTGGTGGCATTATGAAAAACATATTATCTGTTGACAAAACTTTGATATAACTTAAAGAAACCGAGATAATAATCACATGGTATAGAATGCATTTTGTCTACGCGCCCGAGAAACGCGTCAAGGAGTACATGCGCCCAAAACGGGCAAAGGAAGACGCATACTTGGGGCGCGTAGCAGAAATGGGCAAAATGTTACATAAAACTGAACTGAACAGAACAAACTAAATAGAAAAAAAAACCTGTAATAGAAAGGCCCCTTAACTTCAAACTTGAGGCAAATTATCTCGATAGCTATTATAAAAAAAGTTGTCAACTAATAAATTGTCCATCATAATCACAAATATATGATCAGTTGAAAAATTGTTGATATCTCTCGTAGGGGCAGAGATAATTGAGCTCAAACTAGACATTATGGGGTGCCATTTTATTACATATTTCAAGATAAGCCGTCCCCAGAAACGTGTCACTCTTCCTATCAAAAACTTCTGAAGTTTCTTTCTAAGCAGTTTTCGAGCTTCAGAATATATCTGTAAACTTGGAAAACTTCCGAAAGCCCATAAGAAAGAAAATTTTCCAGAAGAAAATGCTGCCCTTCGTAAGGAATTGGATGAACTCAAAGAAAGTCAAGCAGCCGATCCAACGACAGTCTCAAAGAAGGATTAACTTGACGTTTCCATCGTTTTTTTGTGATGATTCGATTGTTTCACTTATCTCTTTTAAGAAAACGGGATAGTTTAATTTATACAATTTACTGAAATGTATTATTTGTATTTTCTCAATTTTTAATTTCTTAATTTATAATGTATGATTCCTGGATAAGACAAATGGCTGGTTTTAAATTTCCTAACTTTTAAAAAATTTCAGGATACTAACCGCGACGCGTTTCGCGTAGCGGTTTCTATGATTAATTGGGTTTGTTACGGAAAAGCAATTGTGCGGGAAAAACGGAGAAGAAGAACACATAAAAGAAGAAGAAGAAGAAGTAGTAGGGACGCATGCACTATCTGGTTGTGTCTATGTCTCTCGAAGAGAGAGAGTGAGAGATATGTTGTTGGCTGAAACATGGAAAATAAATCTGTCGCTTTTTCTCTTGTAAACGATATCCAATAATTTTTCTTTTATTATCCTACTAAATTCTAAATTTTCTGCCATGAATTTGTTCCCAGAATTCAGAGGAAAGTGCCGCAAGAATTGAGAAAGTGGGCATTAGTGATACTTTTAGATATTCGATGTGCGAGAAGAATTTTTGAAATTTATACGTTTTTTTCTTCCAAAGATAACGATCTTTTACATTTGGTTACTTCTAATAGAACGGCTTTTTCAAGGAGAGCTGTATGCTTTTTCACTGTTTCAAGGGTATTTCGCAATACCTTGAATTTGATTTTTTAAAGATTTGACAGTGTGAAATTCTCCATAAACTTTCAACTTTTTAGTAAAATAGGTCTTCAGTTTTTTCTCGAAAATTTAGTGAGCGGAAATTCGGTTTTTTAAATTCGAGTTTCATGGATTTTTAAGGATTCGAGTTCGCCAGATTTTCGAATTTCGGACTGGATTTTCTTATTTGAATTTTTTCGCTGGTTTGTTTGTAGAGATATTATCTTCTAAAAACTTGTAATTTGAAAATCTACCCGGTTTCCTTTTTTAATTACCGTAAAACCTGTAATAGAAGGGCACCCAGACTTGCAATTCTGAGCTAGTCAACTGATAAAATATATGTAATATCATGGTAAGCGATTTATCAGTTGACAACTTTTTGTATCCGTTGACAGGGGTAAGATAAATTGAATCAAATTTAAAAGGTCCCAAAAAAATTGTAATCCAAATGTCAAACCGGCCCCACACTGTCAAATTTGAGCTGAATTATCTCGGTTCTTATAGAAGATATTGAAAATTGGTAAACTAATAAAACATTGATGATATTATGACAAACATTTTGTCAGTTGACCACTTTTTGATATCTCTTATATTAACCGAGATTAATTGGCGCGAAGTTAAAAGTTACGGGCTCTCTTGAAAACTTCTAACTTGCTAAAACATCAATCCAAGAAATCAAGCGCCTTTTTTGAGTATCGTTCAGAACTTTCCAACCAAGATTTTTATCTTGGTTTTTCTTTCCTGAAAATTGTGTTTTTTCTTATTGGAATATAATTTTTTGCAGTTTTTAATTTTCCCATAAAACTGGTTCTCAAGCAAATTCTTTTTTTTCTTCAAATTTCATATATATTTTTCTTTCTCTCTTCTTCTTCTTCTTCTTTTTTATACTGTACCATTATATAGAAAACGAATCGGTCAGCGCCGATTGTAATCTTTCTCATTATTACACAATCCCCCCCCCCCCCCCCAATCGGTGTGTGCGCGTTTTGCCGAAGATTGCTAACCGATTAGGAGAAAGTGAAAACCGTACCTATATGTATTCTTTATAGTGTCCGGCGGCATATGCCGTCATAAAAAATATAACAGTTTAATTTTCATTTTGCTTTAGAATTTTGGGCTCTTTATGAAAAGGGGGGGGGGACATGAGAAAAGGGGGAGACCAAGCGGAAAAATGTGGACTAAGTTAAGATTTAGCAATATTTTCAAGTTTTTCGGATGTTTCTATGAAAATGTAGTATTTTGCGCTTGTTTCCATAAAAATACATCACTTTGAAAAATTTCAGTTTGGGTCGGTTTTTTGCATGAGCAAGACTATTTTTCCCATTATAACTGTGTAACACGGTGAATAATTCACGAATAGCGCACAACTGGTGATTGTTGACGCGTTTCTCGTGCATCGATAAAAAGCATACTTGTAATCCGGGCTTTTTCGAACCAACTCAATCAGGTATGATAGAGCTCTACGAGTACTACAAAACGATGTTATTAGGAATACTGTATCTTGTCTATGAACTTCATATATATTTTTCTATGAACAGAGTTACAGAGCAAAATGAGCAAAAAAAGCAAGCCCACCCCGGGCCTGCCGGGCCCTGCGAGAAAAGCCACTTTATGATCTGTAACTTTGTTCATAGATAAGATACAGTATTCCTAATAATACCGTTTTGTAGTACTCGTGGAGCTCTATCATATCTGATTGAGTTGGTTCGAAAACAATTATTCTGAAAGAAATTATGGCAGGGCCCGCGAAGGCCAGACAAAGGCCCGGATAATTCAAAAGAAATGAATTTGTTCGTGAACCGACATATTGATGGATTTGAGAGTCTATGCATCACTTTTTCTTTCAATTCTTTACTCCCTAGGTCATTCTACGCCAATCCAAGCCAAAAATTCCACGGCAAAAATATCACTCCGAATAAAGATATCACGCCGTTTGGTAGGAAATAGTCCGCCTCTTCAACTTTAAATTTCTCAAATATACAGTAGATCAAGTTGGATACGTTTGAAAATTTCCAGGTTTATTAAACAAAAACAGAGCTTCAATTTTGTAGTTGACAAGCTTTTTGTATCTCTTTTCGTTTTCAAGATTTGCGCCTTTAAAGATGAGGTGCATTAGTCAATGTTAGAGGAGAACTTTTTAGGATTAAAAAAAATGATCATATTCCACAATCCAGAAATCATACCACCCAACCTGTTAACCCCCAGACCTCATTATATTCCCTTCATCTTGATTGACGTTCTTGAACCCATAAATCAGGAGTGATTAGTTTTTTGAAGGACGAGAACACACCCTTTTATCTCTCTTCATCAGTTCCCCTTCATCTTTTTTACTATTTTCTCTCCTCCCGCTAAAATCAAAAACAGATTGTTCTCTCTTGAGGGGGTTTTCTTGTTGTTTAGACACAATTTGGGGAAGTTACCAAATCTTACATCGAACCGGTAACTTTAAGCTTGTATAATTCATTTCCTGTGAAAAATATGAAAAAGTGGTCCACTTTCAAATTGTCTATCACGATATTAGAAGTGTTTTATCAATTGATGAATTCTTGATATCTCTCACAAAAAATGAGATAAACGGGCTTAACGTTGACCGCTTGGGTGTTCTTCTATCAGAGAAAATATGAGTTGGTTGGTTCTCTTGGTTCAGTTGGTTCTCTCAAATTTTCCCTGCACAATTTTTCCCTTGAACTATGATCATCAAATTAGTATGTTTATGTTTTCTTCTGATCTGGTTTGTATTCTTGCTGCTCATCTAGATATGAACACTGTTATTATTCGAATACAAACATCAATGAGCAATTTCCGCAGATCTCCTTCAGATACTTTTCTTCGTCCTCTTTATAGTTATCACTTTTTCATTACTTCAACCTCGCCATATTCGCTCGAACGGAAGCACATCTTATACGTGTTCTTTGATCTTAATTATCTCGCTTCCTATAAGAGATATCAAAAAGTAATCAACTGATAAAATGTTTGGCATAATATCATCAACATTTCATCAGTTGACAGATTTTTGTTATCTCTCATAGGAAGCGAGATAATTGAGCTCAAAGTTTACTTATATGGAGGCTAGTATGCGATGTTTCTCTTCATCTCCGTACGAATTTTTTAACTTTTTGATTTTTTTTTGTAGCTGTAGACAGATACTTTTTGTCTCTGTTTTAGTTTATTATCTCAGTATTCGCTTTCGCCTACACGGAATTTTTTCAGGACGTTTTAAAAATGTATTTTCCCTCGCTTTTCGAATGAGTAGCGACTGAGCAGTTCAATTTATAGCTCCCGTCGATACTAACGCTAATTTTTACTAGAATTTATATTTACCAGCAAGCTGGTGCGCCTTCGGCGCGACTCAATCTAGTTTTTTACTGGTTCGTGGCTCCGCTCCTCAATCATTCTTAAACCGTCACGTTAATCTATATTCATTGTTTAAGCTTTCCAAGAGTCCCCCATCCTGACACCGGGACAGGCAGAAGCATGTAGCTCATTCTCTCTTTGCGCCAAATTTAGGCCTAACTTTTAACTTCAGCCATTTAATCTCTGTTTCTCCTAAAAATATAAAAAGAGTTATTAACAGACAAACAGTTTATCATAACATCACAAACATTTCATTAGTTGGCCCTACTTTTATGTCTTGCAAAGGAGCCTAGGAAAATTAGCTCAAACTTGTCGGTGCTCTGGTTTTACGGTAGCCACGGCGCTTGTGAGCCAGCGCATCTCATTTTTTCATATGGGGTTATTCATGTAGCGAAAATATGTATTGAAATGCATTTCCGAGCCCTTGAAATTCAATGCATGAGCGTCGCGAAATGTATTTCAAAGCATTTCGCGACATAACTGTAAATGCATTGAAATACATCGTGTGGCGGGATATTTTTTCTGGAA